TTATCATCAGTGTAATTTTGAAAAGAGGTCATCAAAATCATTCCTTCGAAAAATCACTAAACCTCACGACGATTTCACCTGGTCTCCAACGTTCGGGAAATTAACTTCGCCATGAACGAGGTCTGTTGTATGCCGCACCGCGTCCTGCTGATTTAAAATTGCCTATCTAAAGAGTTCAGGTAATCATGCCATAACATAGCTACCTTTTCTTTCTGTTTACATTTCTGTGGTCAACCAGTCAGTCGTGTCACGTGAGGTTTCAACGATAGAAAACGTTCGGTTGTGTTTAGGTTGTAAGGCTTACCTCGATTCCTCGGTAGCTGTAGCCATTTCTGGAAATGAAATTCACGCTGGTGACTTGTAAATGAGTGCTGTTATTCAGGTCGCATATAGGAATCTCAGTTAGTAGTGGCCCGTAGTTGTAAGACACGCAGTCGGGGTCCTCATAACAAATCAGTTCACAGCCTACTTCACTTTCAGCTGGCACAGATTTGATTATGTGATGAAGTAAATACTTGTCTTTGATGACTGGTTTGAATAGAATAGTTCTGCACTCATCTGAATTTGCTGCCACAGCTAAAAAGAAGAACAACCCATTATTAAACGTAACTGATCAATATAATCGATATGTGTCTATTAAAATTTATTTTATCCCTCGAGGCTCCTGGTAATTGCCAAATATCCCCCTAAAATAGTGCGAGTTCTTTACATCTATGGCAATTAAGTACGAACATTTGGAAAACTTATTTAGAGTAAGAATTTAAACAAAATCATATTGTTGTGAAAGCGATCAAAGTTGATTGTAGATATATGAAAATCATATAAGTGTTTTTTTTTCAGTTTTCAACATAAAACATACATGGTTATGTTCTGAAGAACTAAAGGATTGAAACAACGATATCAAATAAATATTTTGAGAAAGAGCTGTTGTAGAAGGAAGAGTCTCCCTGAATGGACATCAGAGATCAACAAAACATCACGTCAGTCTTCGATCGCTGGAATATCTTTATCATAAATGATTGGCACTTTTCAAATATTAAAAACACGCCCAAAATTTTCATAATATCTCAAAAATCGAAATCTTTTTCTTATTTTTTGTCAAAAGCCGTTGACGAAAATGTTGACTGAAGCATATTCTCATTTGAAATTACTATCCAAGAAATCAAATTCAATCATAGCATATTTCTCTAGTCGGGGCTCTTTCCCCGATCAGTAGATAGGGAATTTCTTCTGTCTGTTACTTTGGTTTAAGGTTAGCGTTAACCAAAGGAGGAAAAATTTGTCTTCTGCACGCACATACTTTGCGCAATGCCTCATATACCTATTTGGCCATTTCGCTACTGAACGATTTGGTTAACATTTTTACTGCCAGATAAGTTTTTGGCTGATTATATTTTTTCGTATCATGAGGCAACTATATGCCAAGGATTTACGTAAAAGGAATTGTTACCGTTATTCGACCTACCTCCATGAACTGCTAACGTTAGCACAAAAACAGCGAACAGGTTCAGAATCGCCATAACCTTTGACACTTTCTCACTCAAAAAGAAGTTTCAAAGAATGACGAAGGCATAACCTGAAAGAATTAAAAGAGACTTAAACTATAACTTCCCCGAATATTCCGTGTTCGTATAGAAGTCTTGTAGAAGTTAATAATTTATGATTCGAAGAATGCTTTGTTAACGATAAACACGATATACGCAAGCACAATCCCTTTAAAACAAAAGCAGAAAACTTGCAAACGTATATTAAGTTTAACGAGAGGCAAAAGCATGAAAATTCAAATCCAAAAATGTTAACATTTATTTTTTTAGATTAATCAGTGCACTGCAATCCGTCACTATAGATAAAAGTTCAATATTGAAAAAGTTCGAAATTATGCTAATTTTTTAGGAGTGTTAATGAAGGAACTTAATTGGGCTGAAAAATTAAGAATGGTTCATTAGCGCAACAACACCAATTCAGTAAAACATCTCAGAAGAAAAACATGTAATTTTCAGAACTACAACTCATGAACTCTTCCAGTTCCTTTGGGTTATGCCTATAAGCCTCTCAAAAATTATGGAAATTCCAAGTCTGTTCGTTACTTTTGTGCCAACGTTTGCAGTTAACTGAGAGGAAGGTCGCTGCCACTTCAACTTAACAAGGAAATTTTTAAAAGCTGGCAAAATTTTAACCCTCAAGAGATAAGTCTGGAAAACATTTACATCACAAATAGTTAAGCTAAATGCACCATAGTTTACAAATTCCTAATCAAATGTTAATACATTTCCTTAGAAATGGCCTGGAAATCAGTTGAATTTTTTTTAGAAGCTACCAATGTACTCGGGTGAGGTTTCCACCTTATGGAAACTTGTCGTCAAATTGTCTGTGACGAAACACTTTACTAAAGTTTACAAAGTTCGTATTAATAATACTAAAGAATTGGTTTGCTTGCTTAGCGTGCATATATGGAGATATGGATGCACTTGAGAAGTTTGGAGAGCATGAGAGAAGCGTAAGAGTTGCTCTCTTCTTGATGAACCATTTCTCTACTTCTCCGATTTTACGACTTTTTTCTTAACCCATAAGTAAATATTTGATATAAAGATAACTTATAGCTTTCTTGTATGACTTAACGTTCGTGTAGTGCTTAATACGAATGGAGCAGAAGTTACGCCTATGAAGTTCAATGCCAGAGGAACAACTAACCCAGACTGGTTTTCACAAAACAATCTAACTCAATCACCATGGACTGACCTTAAGAGTGCGAGAATTTTAAAACCCTTTTGTATCAATACGGGGCACGCAACTTTGAAATTTCTGTTCGCTATGCAGGATTCCCTAAAGATGTTGGGTGGTTTTTGATTGGGAGACCTTAACTTACTGTGCCGGGAATTTTGTTCAGCAAAAACTCACAAAACCTCATGGAATGATAATCAACGTAGGGATTGAATCGATTTGATAAATCTTGGAATACCCTAACTATTTTGTTTGCTTATGTTTTTTTTTTTTTTTTTTGTCGAAATGTCCTGGAAAAACCCCGCCTAATGGTTTCTTAGGTATTATTTCAATTTCCTAATTAATGGCCATGAGATAAATCTACCTAAATCAATTTTTCCCTCTGGGGTTTGGGAATATCATTGATGAATCATTGAATATCATTGGATGTCATTGGATGTCATTGAATGATCCAATAAACGCTGTTCGGAGATAATTCGACAAATTCCTTTTTTTTCAGTGAAAAAAGTATTTTTAAAACTTGTGACATTTAAATTAAAAACTTTTTACTCACGTTCTTCTCGGGTTTAAGTGATCGTAACTGCTAACAAAATTCAGATTGAAATGGGAGAAAGTCGTAGAACGATAGGCGTCCACTCAAACATAACCTCATAAACGTGGAGAAGGCTTGAGCTCACTAAATCCGATTTTTGGTTTAAATATTTTTTACATAAATTATCTTTAAAAATGGATAGCTATATAATTACGATACTCGTTTACTTGTTGAGAGATTATTTTCAACTAATTTTTTTCAAGCTGATGTTGGAGTTGCAGAGGTGATGATTGCGTATATACTTTTAAGACCATTGTTACCAATCAATTAATAAGCAAGGCAAAGAAACGTAATTTGATGAAAGAAAAAAGCCGATCAAAGCCTGCCCAATTGACTGTCATAGAAAACCTCCAAACTGTAACCGTACCAGCCTTTCAATTTTTTAACCTCTAAGAGTGACTAGCCTTTAATTTCTCCTCATAGCATCACTGCAATCTCAACCATTGTTATTATTATTCTTAGCAAGAATAAAGCAAATGAATGTATTCAAAGAAGCTCTCAACAAATTCTCATTTTCAGTGCCATAGTAAATGTACAGAGAGCAATATGTGGAATATGACTACCGAATGTTAGGGTGTGAGAATGTAAAGAATTGACGGACTGACCGCTGACCGGCAGAAAAGCCCTGCGCGTCGCAACTGCTTCTATGCTTAGTAAATGCAAAGTACATAAAACCTGAATGATTATAATTAGCCCCTCAAATATTCCTTAGCCTTTTTTTCGAAGAAGTGTGGCAAACTTAAAAAATCCAACATGTACAGGGCTGGAGCCGATACATTTGCCAAGTTTAATCTGCCGCCGTAAGTCCGACTGACTGAATGAGTGACTGAGTCATAGAATAAAACACAAATCCTTGATATTTCAGCAAAGTTCACTAGAAGCACTTTTTCTAAATTGGACTAGTAAAACTTAAAACTGCATAGGGGCTCTCTTTTCCACTCAAACAAGTCTGTTGGCTTTGGTGTCTCCAGGTAAGCAACTTGTCAAAGGAGTCTTCAGCGGACGAACACGGCTAGTACGTCAGCTATTCCAACGTTCCCTAAAAGACACGATTAATTAGATAGAGTTACGCCTTTAGAAAAAAAAAATTTTTATGATTGGTTGAGAGAATGGGACTAGTTTGTAATGAGTGTGGAGATCCAGATCCGATTCAAAACAGGATTTATTTCGACATTCAATTGATGCTTTCCTTGCATTTGGCCTTTTTACGTGGCAAACTTTCGCTTATCACCAAGAATAATGTAATTAAAGAAATATTGAGTTCATGTATAATTAGAATATCACATTAATCATAGCTCATACCGTTCTTAAATCCCCTCAAACTTAAGCTAAATATGGGAAATCTGGAATCTGAAGAACGACCAAAATGATTTGAAAGACTCAAGGAATGTGTCACAATTGAATTGATCCTCAAAATAATAACGTAAAATATATGAGTGTTTCACCACATTGAAGGTTCTCCCCCGACATGTTCGCCCACACCACGAAGAGTTCGCCCCATCAATTATGACAAGTTCACCTCCAACTTTAAGAGCTCACCCTCAAATATTTAACTATCCTCCTTACGGTGATAACTTGTCTCTTTTCGGATAAATTCATGATAAAATTCAATTAAATTACAAGTTATTTGGCTCTGACTCAAACTCTTGGCTGAGCAAGCATGTTAAGTCCCCACTCAACGCTGGTCTCAATAATGCTGTAAAGGAATGTACGTTTTCCCAAACTTCGTAGACTCACCGTAATCCATCCAGGTTACAGCTCTGTCCAGTGTACTGAACAGAATGCTTACAGTGTCACGCTGTTCCCACATGCAACCAGGGTAGTTCGCGATCACCAACCACCCCGAATCATTTCCGCAGCCGCCACGGGACAGTGCTATATCAAAGAACCGATAATAAAGAGCAACAATGGCAAATTGAGTTATGTTTGTTGCATCCTTAAGGTCGTTCCATGGCGACGAAATAAGTCGCTCCTGTGAAAACCAGTTCAAGTTGTTCGATCCAGCTGCATTAAACTTAAGGGAGATGACTTCCGTTCCATTCTGGTACAGCACCACACGAGCCTGTCGGAAATCAATGGAAAAATGAAGCCTTAATAATTCAGTTAAATAAAAGAAAAATAAACAGATGCTTGTATGAATAAATTCAACAACTGTATCCTATAGATTTCGCCCAGAAAGTTATACAATTTCACTTCTTTTTACCGTGTACCTGATTTACTCCTTTTTTAATTGCCCATAAAAAGTCAATTCAACAAATTTGATAGTTTTGAAAACAGGTCGTCTTTTCGAATAGGTAAATAAAAAAATTATAAAGAAATAAGAATTCAAATCAAATTGTGATGTTGATATCGAAAAATTTCAGTGTTTAATGAAAGGGATAAGAGAAAATTTAATATATATTTATAGATCACATAGACCAGAAAATTTAGTCTTCATTCTTGATTTTAACCATAATTGATTGAAACTCAGCTGCTCATTATTCACTGCACCTGAGTGGGCTAGATGCAATAAGTAGAGGAACGCTTTAAGACTGTTAACTTGTCTACAGTTGAGTTTCGTACCTCCTTAGGGTTGAATTTTTGCCAGTTCATAACCACCCTGTTCTTAACATGGCCTGCGAAAGTGTTAGTAGTGTCCAAGGCTGCACTGATACTCTCCGACTGTGTGGCTTTTGAATTCCAAAGGTCGCCCACTACAGGCAGAGAGATACCCCTAACAACTTTGAAAATCATTGTCCAGCCTGATTAAAGAAGAAAAATGAGATTGTCAATCTTTCATTTTCTCATTATTTTGGAACGTGCTTATGTTCAAAGATAATATCTTTTCACTGTTGTAGCGCGCCTTTAACAGCTATGGAGTATTGGTTATACGCTAAAAAAAAACTTTTTTTCTTGCTCTAAAGTTTTTGCGACCTGTCATTCTCGTTAGTGCAAGATTATGCAGAACTTCTCATTCTCGTTTTTTATTAAAGGATTACTGAAATAGGACATTTGATTGACCGCTTGTTACGAACCACTAAACATAGAAGTGTTCTAGCTAAGCGTTTGGGAATTGTTTAGGCATGTCAAATGATCTTGAAGTCCTTGTGCGAGTCTTGTGAGCCTTGTTTTGTCACGTCATGTAAGACCCCAAATATAGTTTTGTTTCTGAGTGATTTGCCCTTGACCGTTGTGATAGGGCTTTCCCCTTGGACAATATTCGCCACGGCTAGTCGTGTGTGGGTTTGTTTACTGACCCTGCGGGTGGACTCAATCAGATTTTAGTTCTCCAAGATCGATTGTTTTTCAAGTACATTGTTGTTCGTTCGAAAGTCTCGTGAAATTGTTTGGGTTGGTGTTGTAGAAATATGTGTTATCTGTCAATGTCAGTTGTTCCGTCGGCCCACACACGCCTACTGAGAGGACAGTTAAGAACGTTTACCTAGGCCTTAAAGGGTTTTTAAGAAAAGAGTGAAAGTCGCTCCGAATTGATCAAAAATCGCTCCTCTTGATCAAAAAACCGGTACTTCCCGTTTGCACGTAGTGTTCGAGCTTGTTTACCCCAACAGTCCAAAGAAGATATAAGACAAATGTGGTCATGTCATGTTCATGAACACGCTGGATTGTAATTTACAAAATCGATGAGCATAGTTAAGAAATAACAGTAGTACCTCCTCCATCGCTTGTCTGGTCGCAATAAACACGAAACAGCTCCGATCCATGATTCCAAATATGAATAATTCCATTCGATGGGAGAGCGTCAGAACAATCATTGATGACTGAGAAGAAATGAAAATTATTATTGCAGGAAAATGGCCTTTAATGGAAAATGTACTGGTCTGGAAAAGAAAGTTTTCTGCAATCATGTTTTACCTTTTTCGCAGTTGTCTCCCGTATATCCAGATTTGCACTCACAGACGTACTTCTTTTCAGTGAATCCATTTAAGCACTTTCCATTGTACTTGCAGGGTTTATCAGAGCAATAATTCTACGGTGAGCATAAATAATGAAGTGAGCTCTCGCGAGAATGGCGTGTACAAAATTAAAGTTAGGGAGGGTAGAGTAATTTACGATTATTGCAGGAAACGTTTTGTGTCTGAAAGCACGGACAAGATAAAATAGAGGTAGCTACTACACATCAGCTTACTGGCCCCAAACGTAAGACCCCATCAAATTTCCTCCAGCTTGGAAAGATTGGTTGTGTTATTTCTCATTATGAATGGGAAATTGGTCTAATTATCCTTCAGCATCTGATCACGTTCTCCCTAATAGTTCGCCTGTACCCCCCTATACTCCTGAGCGTAGAGGGAATCACTGTGGGAGTGTTTTTGTCACCTAATTCTCCAACTTAAGGTTCTCCGTTGGAATTACAGCTCCTGTTTAACTGATAAGGCCACCACGTATGCAATAATATCTTACAAACATGACAAAAAACTTGCAGGTTTCCACAGAGGCAATAAATAAAAACAACAACAACAAAACGCAGGAAAAATCCAAATAAAGACGTATGCGATTCAAATCATGATAACTCGCATGTAGCATCATCAAGGCTCAGTCAGCATTTCATCAGGTTTCTCTGGTACAGTGTAATTTGCCTATACCCACCTATACTCCTGAGCGTGGAGAGAATAACTACGAGAGTACATTTTTGCATATGAGACTCGAAGTTAGGACTCTCCCTCGGGGGGTCAATCGCTGGTAAAACACCAGTAAGGCCACTACATTTCAAAAGAATATCTCAAAATATGAGACAAAATTCTTCGAGATTTCGCAATAAACTAGGAACAAAAACGATCATCACGAAAGCAACCAAAAATATAAAAACAGAAACAATAATTACAACAGCAACAATTACAAAGCACAGGAAAAATACCAATAAAGGGATGATATGACCATGATAACTCGCATGTAATATCATCAAGGCTGATTCTGCTCACCTGTGTGGCTCTGTAAATATAACCCTCTCTTAGCTTAAGATCTGCTGGATGCTGAACGTGATCAGAATCACTCAGCTCACAAACCACCTTGCCATTTAATGGTGGACTAATGTTGACAGAGACACATTGGCTTTCCATTGTGCAGAGGTTTTTACAGGAGCTGGCAGTTGTTGTCGTCAGGTTTTTTATCACGTGGCCATAGAGAGAGTAACCTTCTCTTGGTTTTGTAAACGTTATTGATCGACAAAGATCTGACAAAAAATGTCATTACTATCTTTTACAATATTTACACACAAGTATGTAGGCTTTTTCCTCTTTTCTGAGTGCTTTTAATTAGTGATGGTGATTCTGGATATATCATATTGAATGTATTTATGTTATGAAAACACGTAAAAAGTTAAGAGAGTTCTCAGCGTTACGATTTGAGATTTTCCAGTGTTCTAGATTGACCGGTTTCGATTCGTTATTCATTTCAACGTTTTCTCCGCATTTGCAAAAGGAAATCAAATCAATGAGGCAAGAGTTCGGTGCTGAATCAATTCAACTATCTTCTTTTGGATGTTTGTTTATAGCAGGTGGTCTAGATATTAGGGTCAGTCTTTATTCTTTAAGTTCGGTTTGATTTTTCTCACCGTGGATGGCATTTATGAAGCAGTGGATGGAGGCTCCACGGAATATTAACCATATCAAAAAATTGCATACGAAAGTTAACAAGCCTGGCATAGGTAGAGACATAGACACGATTTGAATCTCCGCTTCAACACCTTTGCAGCTGAAAAATGAAGAATCATTTAGGCTTTATCTTTCTTTTTATACAATACCAGTGTTTGCCGAAGTCAACTGAACGGATTAAAGCTTTTACCAAAGAATCCATGCCAATCACAGTTTGGGGTAAAAATAACTTTTTAAACTGACTCACATCCAAACAAAGACGCAATTTTTTGTGTCTTGGTTTCCGACCACTAAATGTAATTAAAAGCAATCAGTATGGTGCAGTGTAATGAATCATGGCACAGTTTCAAACAGAGTATACAACGGTTTCACAACATGGGAGCATCTCTATGTAGCGAAAATAAATGATACCCTACATTGACAGCAGTCTACAAGTGTTATCATAAACATGGTCCGAACAGCCTTGAATGGTGGACTGAACGGAGCAGGTCATGGAAAATACGGCCTCAGTAATTAACGGCTTCATCATCTCAATTCATAACAGCACTCGGCATAGACTAAGTGTATTTAAAAACGGGACAAATTATAGTAATCTTTATTAGGATATCTTCTTCATACGAATATGGTTTTCAAACAGGATCTCATGAGATAAAATGAAAAAAAAAACATAAACAAATAACATAAAAGGAACAAACAAATTAGTACAAGCCAAAGATAGTAGACTTAGAAAATCTAAAGAGCACACACAGGAGTGGTTCGTTGTCTCATCGATGGTGGCAGGTGTTTTGTTTCAGACAAACTAGAATAGGCTCGTTCGAATTTATAACTTGGTTTTAATACCCGTAGGTGATGAAAATCTTTAAGGGTGAAAATCCTTCTGAAGATTTCACTCACGAAAATAACATGTATTTGTACTCAAAATTATCCTGAAAAAATTTCCCTTTTTAAACTTTTACGAGTAGATGATCTTCATGTCAGGGACGAACTGTGAAATGTTTCTCATAAATACCTTCTTTAGGGTACAAATGTCCGTCTCCAAGTCTACTTATCTCATATTGTTTACAAGGCTTTTCTGAGATGCTGAGCTTTATTTTAGAAAAAGGGAATACTTTCTATTCTGGTTATATATGTTGCTTTATTTGTGAATGCTGAAATATTGCCAGGAGTACGCCTCCAAATAAAAATTCATCGGGCTTTTGATGAGCAGAGAATAGGAAAACAACGAGGGCCCACTGGTTTTATGGGTTTATCAAGATATTGTTGAGATATCGTTTTCCCTAAATTTTTGCGAATTTTTAGCGTACAATTTATCATCCTCTTCCTCTCTTCGACGGTTTATGAAGTACAGAGAGTGAGAAAAAATAAAAGTTGATGGCTTTAGATGCAGGCCTGCTGAAAAAAGGTTATTAAACTGCATTGCCTGGTCAGTTCCAACTGAAAGAATTCAAAATCCACCATCCGTTGCCTTGGAGCAAGCATTGATCACACGTATATATTAAAACCCTGCCCTTATTGCCTTTCAGACGAGCTCCATATGCCAGTTCTAAAACAGTCTATACTACAATTACTAACCTTGTGACCAGACAGTCTTGGGTATCATAGCGCATAACTCAAGTAACAGGAAACACATCAAAACGAAAGACATGCCGCAAAGTCATACAAACATGTGCTCTCGAATTGTATAAAGTGAATGCCCCCCAGTTATACTTAGCTTTATATTAGCTTCAATTAACTTCCTTTTTACTTTTTTAACCAATAGCTTTCGTCAGTTTTGTCTATTAATCTTTAATGGTACTTTTTACAAATAAGAATTTAATGTGAGGTATTCATTGAATATAGAGAATATCGAAACAAATTTTTACAGAATACTTAGGCGTTTAATCTCAGTTAACAGTTTTACTTAAAGGGTGCTTAAGGGAAGCTTGTTTATTTTAAAGTTACTACAACTGCTATCATAGACATGTTCACCATTATCGAACAATAGAATAAATGAAAAGTTGTTTGATGTAAATGTTTTCTTCTGTTAGGGCCCTCTAAACAACAATTGTAAAACTGTATGAATAACTAAATATGCAGAATTTCACTTCCAGTACTTTATTCAGATTTCATTTCTCTGCTTTGTTCATCCATTGACTGCATGTCATCTTCGGTTTTCATCGTACAAACACAATCATCGCCTCAGCACCTCCGACGTCAGCTTGAAAAACGAATATAAAATATATTTACTTCCAAGTAATATTAAATGATTTATTGAGATATCATCTAATATATGACTATTATAATACCTACTCCATTTTTTGGGAAAGATGATGAAGAAGACGAATAAAAAGTTAAATAAAACAGTCAATCTTTTACAAAAGAATCAGTTTTGAGCCCTGGCCTTGGCATCATCTGAGAGATTATATTTTAGTTGAATTGATAACTATTTCACGGCCTCTTCTCAGTTTCTAACCGGGGTTTTGTCTCAGTATTTAACAGTTCCATCTAAATGTCCAAACACAGAAGGAAAACCAGAGTGAAAAGGGGGTCTTAAAATGTTACTATTAAACAGTTTTTTCTGAAGAAGAAGATAAAATTATCTATTAATCCGAGAAAGCGTCGACTGGATCATTTCATGAATTATTTCCCAAAAGCAAAAAGAGAATAGTTGTTCCATGCAGTTTTAATTAATTACTCCAATGAACGAATGGCAGGGAATCTATTTGATCTGTTTGATCTGGTCTGTTTAGGAAGTCGCTCGTACTAAAAAACAAAAAAAAGCAAGAACTGAAAAATTCTAAGATTTCCTGAAGCATTTTCTACCTCGGTTATTATTCCATGTGATTTTGTGAGTTTTCTTGCTGTACAGTATTGCCGGTGCAGGGTAAAATCTCTCCCAGTTACAGTGAGGTCCCCCGATAACAAACCAGCCAGCATCGTTGCGACATCCTGCGTAGCGAGCTGAAATTTCAAAGTTGCGTGCCCCGTAATAGCCATTGATACGAAAGGGTTTTAAAGTTGTTGCGCTCTTCAGATCAGTCCATGGTGATTGAATCAGATTATTTTGTGTAAACCAGTTCATGTTACTTGTCCCTCTGGCATTGAATTTCAGAGCTATAACTTCTGCTCCATTCTTGTAAAGCACCACACGAACCTAAAGTCACTCAAAAAATGATCTGTTATCAACATGTTAAATGGATTTACAGAAGAGTCGTACAATCGGAGAGTCAAAGAAATTGTTCATCGAATTTTCATTGTCTTTCTACAAACTAATTTTGAAATATACTGATAATCAATTAACTCTTTGTATCTGTCACATGACTACGGAGGCTCAAAACTCCAATTTTATGAATTATTCTCCCATAAGGAAAAAACATGAGAACCTCATTCATAATTTTTTCCAAGACATGACGCTCTAAGGATTAGGAAGTAAGGTGGAAAAAGATAGTAACTAATTGCGACTTCATTGCATGTTCAGTAATTTCGCTCTCTGATCTACATTGTTGCGTTTTATATTCACCTTTAGTCTTCGAAGGTTGCTGCAAAAAGGAAAAAGGTGTTCAGCTTGTTTCCCTGGATTCCCTCTTAAAAGAGCTGCTCCAATTAATTGAGTAAAATTATACTAAAATCCATCTGGAAGAATGTTTCTCGACAGACTAATTGAAACCAATTTACCATGAGGTTGCAGAGTCAGCCCAATACAATTTTTGTTTAATTTTCTTAAAAAGCTTAACTAATATGTTTTTCCAGGCAAATTCTGGGAGGAAGTATTGAAATTTTATGACAAATTTGGAAGCTAAGTTGCATTTATCCTAACCCTCTGTGATGTAAGTATTTTCCGCACTCACCTCTTGAGGATTAAGCGTTTGCCAACTTTGAACGAGACGGTTTTTATAGTTTCCTTGGAAGGTTGTAGTGGTATCTAAGGCAGCGATAGTATTTTCTGATGATGTAGCGGATGACCGCCAGAGCGCTTTACCAGTTGGTGAAGAAGATAGTCCTCCAATATATTTGAATATCATCGTCCAACCTAAAAGAAAAAAAAAGGTTCCGAAAAATTGTCAGTTTTGTGAAAATTGCATGTTTTGTGTGCAAACTCTAGAATGAGCTTTTCCGCTAGAAAAGGCCTTCTGGAATATTTTTAGCCACCCAAATTTTGTCCAAAGTGATTTGGATACGTTTAGGAACGGTTTTTAGTTATTGGATGAGCAGAATAAATCATTTAAAAGAATCCATATCATCACGCTATGTAGAGAGAACGATAGACAAGTTGATCATACAAGGACATTTACACTTTGTACCATAATTACACCCGAGGGCTATCTAACTTATTCGGAAACTACCGATAAGCTTTATTGAGTCTGACGTACCTCCTCCGTCACTAGTCTGGTCGCAGTACACTGGGAATGGTTCTGACCCGTAACCAGAAATTTTGTAGACTCCTGTTGTATTTGGGGCTTGGGAACAGTTCTGAGGCAGAACGGCTAGAAAAACAGCACATTAAACACCTTTAAGAATCCCTGCACATAATGCAGTGATCTACAGGCTTTCCTGCTTATAGGTCAGGGTCAATTTTAATTAGGAGTCTGATCACTGTTGATACGTATTCGCATTCTGTAACATAGAAATTTAAGAAGTGGTTTTTTTGGCAGTCAAGATGTAAATGTATCACCATCCGCTTTGAATATTGTTTGTGTAAAGCTGTTGAATATGCCACGCTTGGATGGGATAAGTTACTTCCTCGCTACTCGGCATAACACGGAAACTCAGTCTTGACGAGCACTTTTGGTATTCACTTTGACTTCTTTGAATGACAATGGGGCGATGTTTGAAAGAGCAAAAAAATGTTTAATTGCCTAGATATTGATGATTGCCTGACCCACGAAACAGATAGGTCAAGGAAAACTTTATATGAAAAGTGATATAAATGATAAGAAAGTCGGAGTTAAGCTTCTCCTTGTGCTCACGCTATTAACATATTTTAACATACGGTCAATGTTTTGAAAGAAGACAATCAAGAATAATTACGAATAGTTCGATACTTGGAATACCTTGTTCGCAATTCTCTCCATTGAATCCTTGTGGACAGATACAACGGTATCTTTTTGAAGTAAACCCAGCTTGACAAGTAGAATTATTCTGACATGGGCTGCTTTCACAAGGATTCTGTGATGACAAAAATCAATACATTTTTTTCTCTCTATCTTAAATGTGTCTTGTTCGCTTTGCCATATTTTCTTCAACTAGATTCCGTGCAGTTATCGATAGACCGTTGTCATTATCAACATAACAGTTATCGTTATCATTATTACTATAATCACTCTTATTGATGTAAACATTATTTGTATTAGTAGTAGTATTAGTAGTGACAGTAGTATTACTATCACTCTTATTATCATAATTACTATTTTTATTATTAATTATTATCGTTATTAATGAAAAATGAGAGGTTAAAGTCATGCCCCCATATTCAAAGAGAAAGCATCAGACCTGCAGAAGATTGCAACTACAACAACTAACTCACGTAGTGAGCGAAGTCTGTCGTAGACTCAAACTTTAAAATTGTCTCACTTAAAGAGCAACTATGCCTTAATGTGACGGCTTTTCCATATCTGGCAAAATTTTTGTGGTCGATTAGTTAATAATGTCACCTGAGGTTTAAAGAAATAAAATTTGATCGTTTTTAAGGTTTTAAGGCTTACCTTAATTCCTCGGTAGCTGTAGCCATTTCTGGACACGAAATTCACGCTGGTGACTTGTAAATGAGTGCTATTACTCAGTTCACATAAAGGAATCTCACTTAATATTGGTCCGTAGTTGTAAGACACACAGTCAGGGTCCTCATAACAAATCAGTTCACAGCTTTCTTCACTTTTAACTGGCACAGTTTTGATTATGTGATTAAGTAAATACTTGTCTTTGGTGACTGAGTTGAATAGAATGGCTCTGCACTCATCTGAATTTGCTGTCACATTTACAAGGGAGAAAAACCAACTATTACCCGTGACTGATTAACATTATCGATATATATTAATGAAAATTTAAAATTTCATCCGTCGAGGCTCCCAGTAACTGCCATTTATCCGCCTTAACTAATATAGGATGTTTACACTCACACTCTGTTTACTTTACACTGCTTTTGATCACTTCGATGGAAATTTTTAAAATATCTTTAAAAACTTTTCATATATAAAAAAATTGATAATAGTATCAGGTCTCTTATCATAGCTATTTTTTCTCAGAGAATATAAGGAATTACTTTTGTTTGTTACTTTGGTCTTAAAGACTCTTAACCAAAATAAAACAAATTTATTGGGACCTAAATCAGTCTAGGATATGTTGTTTGTTTTGCCATATGCACGTACACACCTTAAACATGCCAAATATATACCCAGCCGTAATCATGAAGCAACTGTATACCGAGAATTTACGAACTAGAAATTGTTACCGCTGTTCGACCTACCTCTAGTAACTGCAAACGTTAGCACACAGCCAAAAACAACGAACACACTCAGAATCGCCATAACTTTTGACAAGCTTAGAATGTTTCTTCCCTGAAAAGATGTTTAAAAGAGTTAAAAAGGCATAGCCTGAAAGAACTGGAAGATTTGTTGTGTTCCAGTTATGGAGGTGACGAGTTTTTCATCTGAGATGTTTACGTTAATTAAGATTATTAGGCGGTTGAGACCAGTATTCATTTCAATATCAATTAACACTCCTACCAATTAGTAATTTTTTTCCTAGAATCTCTCAATATTGAACACTACTGATCAAAACTGAATCGAATCGCAATTGTTAAGATGTTTGGGTATGAAAGAAGAAAAATTCCCACCTTCCTATTCTAAAGGTTAATGTTTTATATTTCAGTTTCTTACTTATCCATTCAGAAGTCGAATGGGGGAAAACTCTTCAAGCGAAAATTACCTCTAATCCACTTTGACGTGGATCTAATTAAAGTTGATATATATTTGCAAATTAGCTGCCAGTATTTTAGGGAATTTTGCAGGTGCATATCGTGTTTATCACTAACAAAGTATTCTTTCCTTTAATTATTAACTTCTGCAAGATTTGTATGCAAACACAATATGTTCGGAAAAAATAATGATTTTGTCGTGTGAGGAGCTAATTTTGCTTAAGGATGGTTGTTGAATTAATTCACCAAAATTACACAAAAAAGCTAGCTGGTAGATAAAACTTTTCCTTCATCTATTTACATATTTGTTGCGAGCAGGTAATTAAACGGAAACCGAGTGTTTTCTCAGTAGAGGGGTGTTACTAGCATTAATTCTGGTGCGTTTCTATGTAGGTAAACCGATGAAAAGTGTTCTATTGTTTAATCAAAGCAGCTACAACAATACAATAAAGTAACAGTGGATTTTAATTCCACTAAGGGTTATTCTTTGCGAAAAAGTGAAAGTCAAGTTCCGAAGAGCGATTTATTTATTTATTTTAAAGAATGGCGCTGTCTCCTTTCAACTTGTTCAGCCCTTAAACAAGTTAGTTGGCTGTTGTCCCTATGAGTAAAGAACTTTTCAATGGAGGCTTCAGTGAATTAACACGGCTAGCACATCAGCCTTTCCAACAATTCCTACAAGACAAAATCAATGAGACTTACTTCTGCATTGTGAGCTAACTGTCCACTTAAGTCTAAGTACAGATGACCGAGTAATAAAATAAACTTCGAAAGAGCGAGAAAAAACTATTTTTTGACCAGAAAAATCAAGAAATCGATGTCACAAAATTATTCAACGTTCGAACAAACTCAATCGATCTTAAGAAGAATCATGATGACTCGCATGTAACATCATCACGGCTGAGTATGCTCACCTGTGTGGCTCTAACATATAGATTTAGCCAAGCGTAAAGGTGGAGCTCTTGTTAGTTTATTTTCCAGCCCTTCATTATACTGAATAAAAACTGTAATAAAAGTCTTCAGCACTGGCTGTAGAAGAGTTTCTTCAGTGGAATAAAAGACCAGTTCGGGGGGTGGGGAGGTGGGGAAGAATTGACGAAGTCTGGACCTGGGACGATGTTCTCACAACTACACACATGCTAGTCAGCGGTATCTTCAGACAGCTTAAGGCGGGGGTAAACCTGAAATTTGCTCAAAAACTGAGTTTTTTGTTTTCCTCGGAATTTGCAGCTTTGGGTATTCAACTTCGCTGTGGAAAAATAATTTTCTACTTATTTTCACTATTTTTGCCTTTTTGAGCGATTTCAAAATTCCCGCTCTGGTTAATGGTGTGGTTACCATGGCAACGAGAAGAGCATTTTTTGATTTTTCAGTTGTTTATGATGTGTTATTCTGGCAACCAAGCTCCCAAACGGGCAGGATTTAACGAGAGATACTTTATGTAGTCTTATCTGAAGGGTTTTCTAGGGTCAAACCCATTATGGGATAGATTTAGAGGCAGTTTTGGTCGAATGTGACACTCAGTGTACTCGGAGCAATCAAAGGAAAAGTTATAATCAAAGGAAAAGTTATGTCGAAAATTGTCGGAGAGAAAAGTAGATCTGTCTACAGGAAGAAAAGAAAGAGAAGTTTTTCTGGAAGGCGAAAACAAAACAAGAGTCTGAAGAAACAGCTCCCGATGTTGACGAAATCGCCGCCTCAACTCCGAGCACTTCGCTGGATGAAAATCAGCTCTCTGACTCGGACTCTAAAGAAACCGTTGGTTCCTCCAGAAAGAAAATGAAATATGCCGCTTCTTTTAGACAGCTTTTTTAGAGAGGCTTTGTATCCCTGGTGGTGTTTGTACAAGAGTGGCAACACATGCAAAAGACAGTAAAAGATAGGCTAAGTCCGATTTGCAGGTTATGCAGAAGGAAAAGAGACGGCGTCAAGGGGAGCGACTTCTGAGGACTCGTCGAGAGGAAGCCCTTCGAGAAGCTGAAGGAGTTACTTATGAACCAGGATGTTTTTAAATTACTTTTAGATACTCCTGTGGACAAAATATGGACACTTGGGCCACTATAGTGGTTACATATTGTAAAAAATTAAGTTTGATTGCTATCTGTAAGTTTAAAGGCCATTTTCTCATTACGCAATAATTTTGTCTTCCAGAAAGGATATCTTGACAACAATTTATCCAATAGGCCTTATTCGTATTCCCGGACGGTCTTGGGCGAGTGCACGATGTCGAGGCTCATGCGGGGGAATCTGTGATTTCAATATGGCTTTCGTAGGAGGGGCAGAGAGTGAAGTTCAAAAATGGAAAGTTCCTGAGTTGAAATCGTATTTACAGAGCCGTGGAATAACTGTTTCGCAAAAGAGAAAGGAGGAACTAGTAGAATTGGTGGAGAAGGCTCGCGATCTTTCACTGGAACCGATAGACGATTGGGAGAAACCGGAGGATGTGATAGTCAACAAGTTGCAGACGAAAGAAGGTTCGCTCCCCTGTCCTAACACGTTACACTCTGACTGGACTTCCGACTTTTCTGATTTTCCGAACTTCACATACGGTGATATGTACGCTTACTTAATCAATAAGGAGGGTTATGACCACGAGTCTCTCAAGGCATATAAGTCGTTCGAAGGCTACCGCCTGTTCTGGGATGGCCATGTGTTAAAATTGATGAAGAACAAGAACTTGTTCAATGGATACCACTACGTTAAATTTGGAGTAAAGCCAACGGAACGAGAGAAAACGCAAGTCGGACAGAAACCAACTTACGATGGATGGATAATAATTCAGTCAGATGGATCAGTTTACACAGCGCATTGCCCTTGTATAGGAGGGTGTGTATTCTGCTGCCTCGGCTAATATTTGGCCATCTTAAAAAATGAATTTGATTTATGTATGTGTTAAATGATAAATCCAGATTGATCTGTTCAACTGACACAATGTTGAAGTGTTAATGAAAATAATAATTTGCAGCTTTGCGAAATTTTGTACTTCGTTTCCAAATTGTTGAAGACATCTTTATACTATGCCCAAGTGTATGTGATCTCTATGGCTTTCAGAATAATTTCCTTTTATCTAGTATTCAAAACTTTGACTCTGGTCATCACAATATATCTGTTGAAACTTTTCTTAATTCCTAATTTCTTGATCAGGGCTGATGGTGCTTGCCGGCACATTGGTGCCTCGCTTATTGACCTTGAAGCTACACTGAGAGAAAATGTTGTAATAACTTGCACAGGGAGAAAGTGCACTTGGAAACAACGGAAGAGGACTCATGAGGGCATGACAAAAGGATCAGCCATGGATTTTACAAAACCCACACTGAACAAAGAGAAAAAGAAGCGACTAAAACCAAGGTGTGATACTTATGACCCCAGAACTTCATATGATACGAATGTAAATTTGGCTGAGAATTTTAGAAAGCTTGTTGCTGAAACTGTTCCTTCAGCTGTATTACTGCATCTGTTACCTGACCCAGACACATGTAATGGTCAACATCCTCAACTTGATTCAGAAAATGTAAATGACATAAGAGAGGAAAATTCAATTGTTACTACATTTACATTAGATTCTTTATCACCAATGAAACCTTTGCCACCCAGTCTGGATGAGATTAAAGAAAGGGGCAAGGCAATAAAAAGAAAACTTCAGTTTACAGATGATGAAATTGATGCAGTGGAAAAAAAGACAAAACTGCAGAGTGATGCCATTGACTGGTTTCAGTACAGAACAGGAAGAATCACCGCTTCTCATTGTAAACGTATTGCAAGCTTGAAATTAACCACATCTCCAACTAAAGCTTTAAAGGAAGTTTTGAGTTACAACCAAGTGCCTTTAACAGCTGCCATGAAGGAGGGCTTGGCAAAGGAGGATGAAATTGAACAGGCACTAATAAAATACATGAAACAGAATGGACATTCTGATATAAAAGTCGAAAAGTGTGGATTTGTCATTAGCAAGACCCATGGACATATTGGTGCCTCTCCAGATAGAATAATATATGATCAGTCTGAGTCTAGCCCAGGTGTGGTTGAGATGAAATTTCTTCAGGTGAAGTCAGGGGAAACCCTTGAAGATATTTTACTGAAACAGCATATTTGTATAAAAAGAAGCAATGGTATAGCCCTTAATAGAAATCATAAATACTTTTATCAACTACATCAACAAATGTTTGCAACAACGTATCCCTGGGGCATATTTGTTGCTTGTGGCAGGGATGGTGGTATTTATGTTGAGAAAGTGTTGTTTGATCAAGAGTTTTGGTCTCCAGTGCTAGTTAAGCTGGATTCATTTTTTGACTCGGTCATTTTACCAGAACTAGCTTTTCCAAAGGTTAAATATGGTCAGAACCGTACAGTGTTATATAGTACAGATAAATAAATATACATATAATGTAGAAACTCAACTTCCAAATATGAACCTTTCGTGACATTGAGCCTATGTAAATGCATAACTATTCCATTTATACCTAGTATAGTAGCTACTGTAAGGGGTTACATGCTCATTGTTTTTTTTTAGTTCGATCAAAAATCATATGATTTATACAGACATAAGAAAATTATTTAGACATTTACTTTGAAACAAGAGGCTTCATTAAGTTACACAGTGCTGCACATACAAACACAGTCTGATCAGCAACTGCAGCAAGGGTGATAGGTATCACACCACGTAAAATTCGGAAACACTTGAGCCGCTGGATTGCTCTTTCCACATGTATGCGAACTGCAGCTATTCTCCTGGTTTTTGTACATGCCTTTGTTGAAAGGGACTTCCCCTTTGCAAAGGGGGGAATGTTTAATGTGGCCTTTTTCTTTGTGACCATATCTCTAATATTGAATCCTCTATCAGCCATCACATCATCTAGAGGTTCCAGCTTGTCTATCAGTCCAGATTTCTGAGTTATATTTCGGTCAGAGACCCCACCAGACCAAAGTTTAGAGACAAATGTGAAGGCTCCAGTGGGTGAAATACCAACCAAGAGTTTGAAAGTGTTATGTGACTTGTAATCACTCCAAGTAATTTTCTGAGCTGAAGGTTGAGTGGACTTCTCTATAAAAAACTCTGTACAGTCAATAATTACACGGGTCCGAGGATACCTACTAAAGCTCTTAGGCATGTGCTTTTGAATTTGAACCTTTGCAGGCCATATTATAAGAACTTCCTTAAATACATGATACAAAAGATTAATCCAAGTTGTAAAAATCTTGGAAACTGAACTTTGTGAAATTGCAAAAATGTCTGCCAGGTGACTCTGTAACAGTCCAAGCCTGAGTCTTATAAGAACCATTAAAAATTCAGAAAATAATGGCATCTGCCTCTTTGGTCCCGGCTTGTTAACATGTTCATCTTCCTGTAATAAAAGTAAAAACGTGCAGTTGAGTTGCTGAAGCAAAATGTTTAGGCAATTATCACATAGTTGGAAATCATAATAACATAATATATCATGTTATAGACCCTATGCATATATTATCATTTTGTTCATATTTAAAAAAGCCTCGCTAACGTCGTTTTTGAGACAAAATTTGTAAAGAATATGTTATCCCGATCGAGGTTAGTGAGGCTATTTTGAATACGAACAAAAAAATTCAAAGGTACCCATTTTTGCATAGGGTCTATATTGCTATTTATACCAAACATGAAACATTTTATGCCATAATGTTCATCAAAACAAATGAAAGGAAATATTAACAAGACTGCTGTGTAAACATTTTATGCCATAATGTTCATCAAAACAAATGAAAGGAAATATTAACAAGACTGCTGTGTAATAATATTAAGATACCTGATACGTTTCCCTCTGTCCCTTTTTCTTGTTGTCCCAATATTTCATTGCATTTGCAAATGGTTTCAGAAAGGGAAACAACATCATAAGACAGGCATAGGAGGGCAATCCAGTGTAGAAACACACGGACTTGTTGCTTTTTAGGACGTCGTCTATAAACATTTCTCTCTTCAGTTCTGATTTATTTCCAGTTTAGCTTTGGCTGCTTCCATGCAGTCGATATCTTCACAGGTAAGGTCGGTTTGGATACACTTGTCTGCAAGGGATCTTGGATCAGGTGTCTGTTCAGTTTTAATCTCACACTCTTCAGAAAAAATAAAATCCATGTCGCTCGAGCACGCAGTTTCCTGCAGTTGTGATGACAGGCCCAATGGTTCCGGGTTTTCCTTGTTTTTTTCAGTTTTACCTGCTTGTCTCCTTGGTGCAGTCTTGGTTTTGTTTTGTATGCAGCTCAAAGCTCCTCGTCTCCTTTCCTCTGGATCTGTTCGCTTCCGTCGGGTTTTGGGCTGCAAATGAGTCGGGAAACTGAAAATTGTTGGGACAGGATTAAGCTTTGAGGGTCCTAAACCACCTTCGAAGTGTGCTGAACAAATTCTTGTATGTCTTGTGACATTTAAACTGCTTAAACGACAAGCAGCTATCCACCTTTTTCTTCTCTCGTTTTCATTCATTCCGGGTGCGTAAGTCTTCTTTCGGTCGCCGATAGGAAAAGTGTGAAACGTTATTCCTTTGAGTTCTGGATATTTCAGATGGTTTTTTTGTTTTTCAGTGCTGTTGGAGCAGCCATATGCACAGCAGTTATGTTTAACCATGATTTTGCCGTCAAATACTGCGAACCAAAGTGACTTTCTCCGTATTTTTCCAGCTGTGTCAAAGGGTATTTTTAATTTTCCCCCGCATGAGCCTCGCTTTCGCGCGAAACAAAACACTCGTCCCAGACCAGTCCGGGAATACGAATAAGGCCTATTGATCTGAAATTTTCAGCATTTGTTCCTTTTGATAAGTTTTGTGTTATAAGCAGAGCAATTTTCCATATGATGTATGTACTTAAAGTTATGAAGTGAAACACCCCTCTGATTTTCCATGTCAAATTTAATTGATCATCATTTAAAATGTTTTCAACATATTAGAAATCCCTCTGCTTATAACAATAAGCAACATGTCTTCTTTGAATTGATACTAAAAACGTTATTTTTCATTAATTCCAGAAGGAGTTATCTTTTCTGAAGTAACCCCTGGTAGAACCCAGCAGGTGGCTCAATTAAATGAGTGGTATCCTATTACAATTGACATGTTGAGTCTGAAATATTTTTTTTCATGATCTTCAAGTCATAAGCTTTCCAGGGATATATAGTTTGCCTAAGTTTTGAATTAAGTCCTAGCTGTGAAAAATGAGTGAAAAATGGGCATTTTTTCAGGTTTACCCCCGCCTTAAGACTTTCGTCGTTGTTCTTGATTTTATGACCAAATTTTCGAAGATAGGGAGTGTTTTCTTTTTCAGATGAAGTGCATACTGTCAGCATCAGTTGAAATTATATCCTATTGAGCGTGACTTATAATTTCGGTTTGGGAAAATGAGCCAAAATTGAAAGAAACGACAGTAAACCACTTTGCGTTAAGACATTACTGGTGGATTGAGGTGTATACGTGCAGTAAGCACGGTAAGTCAGTAAAACAACACGCCAGAATCGTTAGAAAGGATACAATATTTTATAACAAAGACTTGATGCGTAGGTTGTGCAAAAAACTTTAATTTGACTATACTTTTATAGCCAATGCCAGTCCCTTCACACGGTAAAATGTTAGGAGGATCAGAGAAAAAATAATGTGCCATACATCTGCAAGATTTGATGTAATTATTTTAATTACAAGAATATTTACTGATACTAGGAGATCTAATACTATTAAAAAAAAAAAAAATTTGGGTGAAAAATTAGAATTCAGAACAGGCTGGATAAACAGAATTCTTAGAAGAAGAAATGTGTACTAATGAAAAAGCTTAGCAAACTTTTTTTACAACACTTGCTTGTACCTATACGGCATGTAGTACAGTCTTTTGAAGTAGTCATAATCCCAGTTTCATATATTGAAAACACATGCAATGTAATGTAATCCTATAGTTTAAGCCTGTGATGACTTTGAAATTTTGATGCCCCCCTCGAAAGGATAACAAATAAATTTCATGTTTTTATACATTCAGTTTGGGTTAGTGAGGTAAAATTGAGTCAAACATTCAAGACGTCAAACGAGAGGTTCAAGAAATTTTTACAACTAATTTTTAAGGTTAGCCTACCTGGAACAATCACCTTCATGTAAAAATTAGGTTTGTAGTGATGATTCCCAACAGAACAATTCATGGTAAGAGGACAGGCTTTCCTTTCTTCATTTAAAGAAATATTGATGTTATCATCTTTCCACAGGCTCAATGGAAAGTGAGAGTGAATGAGACTGATAGTGACTATGTTAGTTGAATAAATATCCAGAGTCAGGATAAAAAGTCAGACATGGTCTTAACCTATTAAGCTAAAGCTTTACCTTCTTGTTTTGTGATTATGTGGATGCCAATTACTGGTAATTTAACTTTCATGCATCAAAATATGAAAAAATGTTCTCTTCATCTATGTGCCCTAAACATTACAGGGGAGGAGGCATGTCAAATTAAAAATATGAGTTAAAATAAGAGGCCCCCCATTAATTTCAGTCCTAATTAAAGGAGGATCCTTGTTTTTCCAGATTCCCACCCTTTTAGACTCACATCATATGGCCAATTCCTTATTTTGATGTTTAGTTTGGGTAGGACCATTGGTAAGAAACACCATGCATTAATGAAAGCTTTAGCTAGTGTATTTAATGCAATCTAAATAATAATATTACATGTTACAGTATGGTAACGTACACAGCAAAATTATATAATCACACAATTCCAAACAAAGGAAGTCAGGTTATTGACTCGCCTGCTTCAACTTTCGAGGGCTTAGGTACAGAGAATAGATATGATAAACAGCTACAATTAATACAAAGTTGAAAGTTTGAAAACTAAAAGATATACATTACAATCATCAGACCCACTATGCATCCTAGCAAAAAAAGGGTCATTTACCACCATAACTTCTCTCAAATGTTCATGCTTACAGAAAATCATTTATTTTTGTCTCTAGGTCGTACTGTATTTACAATAGTTCTGCCAACACAAATGCATTTTTCTAAAGTTATTTCATAGCACTTGACTGTACAGGTCAAGTGGAAGGTTCCTGCATGGGGACTAACATTTCAATTACCTCAGCAAACTGTAATCATCAGAATTGCAAGCCAAGGTGTAATTACCAAGTGCTCAAGTTTCCAAATTAGTCACTAATTCTTACAGTGGAGTTCAATCCTTTTTAAGGCTATTATCAGCTTGATCATCCTGTTACATGTGAAAACATCAAATGTTACTTACATATTCAAATAATTTCCTGAATCAAAAGTTATAATAACCTGCTACCTTTAATTGTGCCCCAGGAATAGAAAATGGTATTGAAGAGAAAGGAAGAGAGTACTTGAAACATTCTATGTTAAATGAAACTTTGTTATAAATGTTAATTGTGATTGCAACAAAAAAATCTGTGAAGCTTTAATAATAATTACCTTTCCAGGTAAGCAAACCATAATGAAGCATGATATGAATAAATTTAATCTCACCCAGTTTGAATGTAGAATCCAAAATCTAATTAACTTAGAGGTGAATAGGAAAAAGCTAATGTGTTTTTCCTGCTTCTGTCATTCTTAATATCACAAATCAATCATGCTACCACCTCAGTATGATTTTTTTAATGATGTGTACTTTTTCTTATGGACAGCTATGATTTTTTTAATGATGTGTACTTTTTCTTATGGACAGCTATTTTAAGTAAACTATCTATCTTTTACCAGCTGGCATCTGAGAAGAATGAAGTCCACACTGGCAATTTGACACATTATAGGCAAACCTTACAGCTGATTAACCCTTAACTCCCATGAGTGACCAAGGCAGAATTTCTCCTAACAATATCTATACAATATCAATGAGATAAGTGATGAGAATAAAGAAAAATATAAATTTGGGAATAATTGGTTGATCCAATACTAAATTCTTAGAACGAACATTATACGAATTGTATAGTTGACAGTAAGGAGAATTACAAATTTGAACTGGGAGTACAAGGGATAAATTTTATTTGATCAAAAACATGAACAGCAATAGAGGAAATTAGGTAACACAATTCAATTTCCCCTCTTAAGTATTCTGATTGATATATTTTAGAAATTTTACAAATATTATTTGGACGCCATTATGGACGAAATGCGCAAGCGCGGCCGCCATCTTGTCCAATATTTCTGTCGATGCCAATGTGCAGAGGTTCTTACAGGAGCTGGCAGTTGCTGTCGGCCGGGATTTTTGTTTTTTGTTTTTTATCACGTGGTCATTGGTTTTGTAAACGTTATTAATCGACAAAGATCTAAGGGAAAATGTTATTACTATCTTTTACCATGCTGGAAACAAGCTTTCCTCTTTTCTGAGTGCTTGTAATTAGTGCTAGTGATACAGAATATAACATTTTAAGAGAGGATTTCAGCATCCATCGAACAAATAATAAGTGTTTCATTCTGGAATGAAAACCTCAATAAACTCATTCGGAAATGACTCGTTTCGAATAATTTTACTACTCTGGTATCATGTGGCAACCGGGATGAACTCGTTCTTGAACAAAACTCATTCCGATATCATGTAGACTTCATGAACAAGGCCCCTAAGAGTTTTTATTCCCAGAGCATCACGCTCTGCTCTCCTGCCAGAACACTATAAATTTCAATAGCGTTGAAGCAACAACCCGCTTTGAACTGCTACGCTGCTACTGAAACAACGATTAGTGACCACAAAAGTAATATATTGTAATATTGTCCATTCGACATAAGCAAAATCTTTATACAGGGTAAATATTCATTTTTGTTGGTATCAATTATTGCGTGGCCAGCTTCTGATATAAATGGGATGGGGAAAACACAACTTAAAACCTGGGCTCCCGGCAAAAAGTAATACTCAAGCATAATATAATAGCCGAAACAGCTTATTGGTGAAATTAAGAGATCCTCGCGGCTAAGAACACCACTGAAATGAGTAGTT